CTCCTCCTCCTTCTCCTTCTCCTTCTCCTCCTCCTCCTCCTCCTCCTCCTCCTCCTCTTCCTCCTCCTCCTCTTCCTCTTTCTTCTCGTCCTCCTCCTCCTACCTATGGCAGTGGTGGTGGGCAATCGGCCCATCGGATCGCGCTCACGAAGTGCGCCTCGTACGGCGGCAACGCCTGCGCTGCGCGACCGCGCGCGCTCGCACGGATCCCGCGGGGGGCGGTCGCCGTGCTCGAGGCTGAGGGGCAAAGATAGGGGGGGGACTGGCACAAGGGGGGACGCATCGACCTGGAATCGGCGATACATCGCCAATATAGATCGGCGAAAGGCTCCAGATATTGAGTCCGCACCTTCCTGGGCGGGTTAGGGCTATCGCGCTCCTACCGGCGATCAATGGGCGGGTTTTCCCCTATGCCTCCTCCCTATGCCCATCCCCCTCCTTTCGCTACCCCTGAGAGGCGCGCCGGTCCCCAGCGGGGCTGTGCAACCGGAGCTGGGTCGAATCGCGGCCTCGGACCGTGTCGGAGAGGGATCGGATCGCCAGCGGGTCGCCACGATTCGAACCGAGATCGGACGGTTGGCCCATGCCGATGCCGCTGATTCGAGCCGAACCGACTCGAATCGGAATCGCGCCCCTGGCTGGCGAATCGAGTCGCACCAAATCGGATCGTGGGTGGCCTTGTCGCTGCCTGCCCCCCTCCCCTCGGAGGAGACGACGGGCCATGCAGCGAACAACCTCGCGATGGGCAACGACGACGACGACGACTAGCGGTGCCGGGCCGTCCTCTGGCCCTCCCTGCCTCCCTCCCTCCCTCCCTCCATTTCCTCCTCCTCCTCCTCCTCCTCCTCCGCCGCCTCCTCCTCCTTCTCCTTCGCCTCCTGCTCCTGCTCCTGCTCCTGCTCCTGCTCCTGCTCCTGCTCCTCTCTCTCCTCCTCCTCCTCCTCCTCCTCCTCCTCCTCCTCCTCCTCCTCCTCCTCCTCCCTCCTCCTCCTCCTCCTCCTCCTCCTCAGCGGTGGCGCGCGCGCCGCGCGGGGGGGGCAGGGGTGTCCTTTGCCTCGGGGGTGGCCGCAAACGCCTTCACCTGCGCGTAAACGTCGGCGCGCGTCTTCCCCTCCTGGCAGAGCCGCGCGCCGTGCGCTGATCCTCAAGGTCCGAGGGTCGAGCTGTCTGGAGGTGTGCTGGCCTAGCAGGGGAGATGTCGACGCCTGCGTCAGGTTCGTGTCGTGCCGGCTTCGGCGTTGGTCTCTGACACCGCGGGAATCGTTCAACCTTCAACGATCGGCCGTTTCCGAAACGTCCAAATCGTTCAGATCGAACGATTCTGGCTCGCCCGCGGCGTGCAAAAACGAACGCGGCTGGCGGGGTCGCCGCCGGTCGACACGACACGAACCTACCGTATCCCAGGCTTCGTGGGGCTTTCGGATGGACCAGAAAAAATTGGGGCCAGACTCTGGGATGTACGAGGGGGCGCGTCCATCCTCGACAGAGGTGCGTCCGAATAGCCCCCCTGGGCTGCATCCCACGGTTTCACTCCATTTCTGAGCGGCTTCATTTTTCGTCGAAAACTCGGGGGTTGGGGATGAACAATCGCCTGCGGTGGTGGGCCCGTGGGGGTTTCCTGACACCTCCAGAGTCGGGCTGCACGAGTCGCCGTGTGCGGCTGTATTCTTGTGAACGCCACGACACTGGACAATCTAACAGTCCGATCCTTGACTTAGAAATGTGTCCAACATCGTTGAAGGATGTGTTTCAAACTGCTTTAAAGCACCTTCACATGTTCAAAACATGCCGTTTCAAACATCCCTTAGACATTTGCAACATATGCTGTACATGCCTCCTCTCCCTTGACCGCCCTCCACAACTGGATTCGCGGTCTCCCGATGCCCCCCCTGCAGGGGGGACCACTCCGCGGCCAACCTGAGGAGCGCGAACCTCAGCATCTCGCCTTCGCGCCCCCATCGGGCGACGTGCGCGGTCTACTCCGGCGCAGGGCGGGGAAGGACGGCACGCCATCGCGACGTGGCATGCGCACCCCTCGGTGGCAACTCGTGGCAGCCTCCCATACCATCTTGTCGGCTCTTGCGAATCGACGCTAATCGACGCTAGATCGACGCTAAATCGATGCTACATCGACGCTAATCGACGCCAACCGCCGCTAAATCGGTGCTGTCTCATCTACCCCAGACGCTAATCGACTCTAGCCGACGCTAATGGTGGAATTGAGAGGGTAGACCAGGGTCCCACGAGATACCACCGAAGCACCCCATTCCGATCCTCCGCGTGGGACACGCTCACACATCCCGCCACCGCTCGGGAGTCCCTCCCCCCTTCCCCGGGGAGGTTTCGGTGTCGTGTTTTTGTTTTCTCACTCGCTCCTCGATGGTCCCCGCCGGAAGAAGGAAAAAACGCACACGTCCGAGCGACGCCACGGCAAAAGGCAGCGGTGCGCGTGGAGCTCCTGCCGAGGCGCCGGAGCCGTGCCACCTCTGCCGGCAGGCGCCTTCCGACGCAGAACAGGTGCACACCTGGCCTCCTCGGGTCCTCGGGAGGGAGGGAGGGGGAGGAGGAGGAGGAGGAGGAGGAGGAGGAGGAGGAGGTAGGATGAAGATGAGGAGGAGGAGGGGATGAGGAGGATGAGGAGGATGAGGGGGAGGAGGAGGAGAAGGATCATGATGAGGAGGAGGAGGGGGAGGAGGAGAAGGATGATGATGATGATGAGGAGGAGGAGGAGGGGAGGAGGAGGAGAGGAGGCGGAGGAGGAGGAGGAGGAGGAGGAAGAGGAGGAGGAGGAGGAGGAGGAGCAGGCGGAGGCGGAAGAATAGGTGGAGCGATGAGCGAGGAGCGAGGAGCGAGAGGCGAGGAGCGAGGAGCGAGGAGCGAGGAGCGAGGCGGAGGAGGAGGCGGAGGAGGAGGAGGAGGAGGAGGGGCGAGGAGCGAGGAGGCACGAGGAGCGAGGAGGCCGGGGCAGAGCCGATCCTCTGCAGGCACTGCGTCCCGCAGCCGGGGTGCTGCCGCGAGGGGCGCCGAAGAGAAGCAGCAGAGAGGGGCCTCCGCAAGCGGCCACCGCTGGCCTCGGCCACGAGCCCGGATCTGAGGAGCGGCCCGGATCTGAGGAGCGGCCCGAAGCATCGGTGCCCCTCCTCCTCCTCCTCCTCCTCCTCCTCCTCCTCTCATCATCATTCATCATCATCATCATCATCTCATCATCATCATCATCATCATCATCATCCATCATCATCATTCATCATCAGCAGCAGCAGCATCAGCATCAGCATCAGATCATCATCATCATCATCATCATCATCATCATCATCATCATCATCCTTTTCCTCTCCTCCTCGTCCTCTTCTCCTCCTCCTCCTCCTCCTCCTCCTCCTCCTCATCATCATCATCATCCATCATCAGTCAGCATCAGCATCAGCAGCATCAGCATCAGCATCATCGCTCAGCATCAGCATCAGCATCAGCATCAGCATCAGCATCAGCATCATCATCATCATCATCATCATCATCATCATCACCATCACCATCACCATCATCATCATCATCATCATCATCATCATCATCATCATCATCATCATCATCATCATCATCATCACTCCTCCTCCTCATCCTCCTCCTTGTCGAAGTGGTTTGGACTGAGCCTCCATACGGTGTGGGCATTGGGTAAGAGCGCGTTTGTTAATGTTCGGCGACAGTGGGCATTATAGGGGGAGGGGAGGGCCAGGGGGGTAGAATGTAACGCCTCCCCCCCGCCGAGCGCACGGCGGCAGTGCCCGGACCGCACTGGGGAGGGAGGGGCGTTACGCTATGGGGGGGAGGGGGGGCCGGGGGCTATACTGCCCATTGTGCCCCAAGCAACAAAAAACACGCTCTAAGGAACCCTTAGATAAGGAGTCCTGGGTCTGGAAGCCAGTGAAACTCCAATCGTGGACAGGCCATGGATATCACCGCCGCCCTCATTGGATAATGAATCCTCCAGGGTCTGGCGCCTCCTGGAACTATTCCTTGGCAAACGCCTCCACCGTAGTCCCACCAGCCCTCTGGGCGTAGGTGGTCTAGGGAGCTTCTTCCTCCAACCCCCTTCTTCCCCTGCGGGGAGGGGTCTACCCCTCCCCCATACCCCGTCCCCTGGACCTGGACGGGGGGATCCGCGGGTAGTTGGAGCGTCCAGGATGGCCCAAGACGGCTCCAACAGCGCCTAAGAGAGCCCGAAGTGGTCTGAGCCGAGCCTCCGTAGTTCGGCGTCTGGACTGTGCCCGACCCTGGCGATCCGAAAAAGTACCCATATCGCTACAGTCGACCCGTATCATAAGGATGCGCGATAAGGATGCAAGGGCCTTGGACGCCCACTTCGAAGCATTTCGAGCGGGGCGCGGCCAACGAAAATGGTCCAGGATGGACCGAATGGCAAGGATGCAAGGATACCCTTGGGAAGGTTGCTCATCCTGACTGTGCGGGTTGCCTGTACTTCCCAGACCTTTGCGGGGGTGCGCTCCGACCAGAATCTCGTGGCGAGACCAGCGGTGGCGACGAGGGCCTCCCAAGAGGCCCAGAAAGGCGGAAACGCGGGATCTGACGGGTGGTGGCGGGGGCTTCGCTGCCCCGACACGCCACGCGCAGCGCGCAACGTGTGGACACAGAGCTCAACACGTAGACTGAACACGTAGACTGAACACGTAGGTCTGGCGCGATACGTTCGCCAGAACGTGAGCCAACACGCGGAGCCAACACGCAACGCGTTCACGCTGAAATTTTGAACCCTTGCGCCTAAAATCGGACGCATCGAGGCAGCTAAGGTAATTGGGGGGGCCTACACTGGGGTGAAGCCAACGGGCCCCAAACGGGCCCCTTCTGGGGCTCCTGCTGGGTCCAGGAGGCCCCTGGAGAGCCCTTTTCTTCACCCCCGATTTAGGTTACCCACCCTTACACTCGACCAGGATAATAAGGATGCGCGGCATGGATGCAAAGGCCTTGGACCGCCATGCTGACGTTCCCCGTGCGGAACGCAGCATAATGCCGAAGGATGCCGACCACGATGCAAGGGTAGCTTTGGAAAGTTGCCCCATCCTTACTATCATGGTTGACTTTTTGTGGAAGACGCGGGCAGCCGAAGGTCATCGCTTCGCGCGTCCTCTCGCGACGCTGCACAGCTTCATGACCAGAGCTCACCCCGCCGAGATAGCGGTGCTGGGCTGCGAGTCGCCGCGTCCACGCGCCGAGACCACCACGCCTTCGCTCCCGCGGCTCCTGCGTGAAACACGGATGCCGCCACACACGCGCACACGGTAACGAAACATCCGCCGCCTCCTCCTCCTCCTCCCTCTCCTCCCCCTCCTCCCCCTCCTCCCCCTCCTCCCCCTCCTCCTCCTCCTCCCCCTCCTCCCCCTCCTCCTCCTCCTCCTCCTCCGCCAAACACGAAACATCCGCCGTAACGGTACTAGCATGGTTGACTGCACCACCCGCCCGAGAACGGCCCGATCGCCTGACGTCGGGCCCCGCGCCGCGCGGAGCGCGGACCGTCGACCCCGAGACGGCCACGGGGGCACCCCCGACGGGCCCCCGGCGTGACCCCAAACGGGCCCCCGGGAGGCCACCGAGAGGGTCCCCGCGTGCCCCCAGGGTGCCTTCAGGGAAAAAGGGGAAGGAGGGAGGAGGAGGAGGAGGAGGAGGAGGACGAGGACGAGGACGAGGACGAGGAGGAGGACGGCGAGAAGGAGGACGAGGAGGAGGGGGAGGAGGCGGAGGAGGACCAGGAGAGTGAGGAGGAGGACAACGAGGAGGTGGACGACGAGGACGAGGAGGAGGAGGACGACGAGGAGGAGGAGGGCGGGAGGAGGAAGGGGAGGACGAAAGATCAATGAAGGAGAGGACGAGGCTGCGGACAATGAGCAGGCCCGCGCCACCTCGGACAGGGCACTGAGCTGGAGTGGGTCTTGAGCTCGGCCTCCTTTCTGCTGCGCCGCTGCGCTGGCATGGCGGCGGGGCCTGCCGCAGGCAGTGGTATGCTGTGCGCTGGCGTCAGCAGAGCGCAGGACGCGACCGCGCGGGAGGCCGTCCTTCTTGCAGGCTGCGAACGCTGTCGCGGCCTTGCTCGCCGCCTCGCGCAACGACGCGTCAGTGGAGCAATGCTGCAGGTGCTTGGCCTGGCAGCGCCCCGCCCTCCGCTCGCATTGAGACCGCGCGCCCAAGAGAATGTCCCACCACAGAAACGAAAGGCCAACAAGACGAGAGGCCCAACCGGCATGCCCCGTCTCTTTCCTTGCTCTCCCTCCCGCCGTCTGCCCTCCTTCTCATTTCCGTGTGCCTCTTGTCGTGATCCCCTCCGTTACCACCTTCGCGTGTCCCGCCAACTGGCGTCCCCTCGCCTTCCTCGATCGGGAAGCCACTCGGCACCGACCGCTGCAACTACGAGGTAAAGAAGGATAGACGTACACACATGTACATACACACTGCTATAGTTTCGGATACCTGAATATGGGTGTGCATCATCGATACACACATATATATATATATATACAAGACTGCATTGGCGCTTCGCGCCGTGCACCTTGGTCCTTCAACCCTTGCGCGCGTTGGCGTCTAGCGCGGCCCTCCACGGTCTTTGAACCGCGGCCGGTTCGCGCCCAGTTCCCGGACCTGCACCTTACTTGCTCGCGCCCTCGCTCTGCTGGTCCGCGCGCCACTGGGACTCCATGAGAATGTCCCAGCGGACCGATCAGCGGCGATGAGAGCGGCCGTGGAGGCTCCGGAAAGACAAAACGTCGGACAGAAGGGGCGAGGCGCAGGAATTGCAAACCCGCGTAGTGCTGCGTGCTTTGAGGTGCCTCGCGTCGAAGTGGGTCCTGTCCCAGAGCTCTCCGCAGCGCGTGCAGGAGAAGAGGTCTTGCTTCGGACGGCCGTCAGTGGCGCACGCCTTGCACGTCCGAGAGGATCGGTGCAGCTGGCAAGGGCTGAAGTGAGTTCGATCGTGCATGTCCCCGCAACGAGTGCATTGATAGTCTTTGTGTTGGGGGGCTGACCGTGACTGTGTTTCCCGTCGACTGGCACACGACTTGCAAGCCCGATTGGACTGCTGAAGTTGTGTTGTGGAGAATGATTCTGCAGGCAGGGTCTCGCCACAATCGGAGCAAGCGAATACAGACATCGAGGATGTGCCGTATGCGACAGCTTAAAAATGTAAGCCAACGGCTACGGATGCATGTGTGCGAACACGTGTGGAAAACAATGTTTCCTTAATGACTTGGAAGGGCCCTCGTGAAACCTCCATGGAACGATTATTCTGGGATGCGATAGGGCATAGGGCAGCAAGCATGCAGGCAACGTACCGGATTCTGGAAATGCTAAGGACATCTACCGAATTCCGGGGAAATGTGCCGAATCTCGGGTTCGCAACCGATTTCCCGGGAATTTGGTTGCGAACCCGGGATTTCAAGCATTTTGGTGTTTTGCGTGGGATGCCACTGTCTGGCAAACAACGGAGCAGCGCAGCGAAGCCGTTCCGGAGGTGGCGGTCAAGTGGGGCGATTCAGCAGTTTTGAAGCCTCTTGGGGGGCCGTTTTGGCTGCCTTTTGGAGAGCCATTTTGGGGCCTCGTGGGTTCTTTTTGGGAGTCCTCGGGGCCTTTGGAAGCCTCTTGGGGCCTCTTGGGGCCCTCCTGGGGCCTCCTGGGGCCCACTTGGGGCGGAAAGTTAGATGTTTGTACTTTTGAACGCCCTGTGGGGGCTCGTTTGAAGCTTTCTCGGGGCCCTCTTGGGCCTTCTTGGGCGCCTCTTGGGCTGTTTCGGGGCGCTCCAGAGCCGTCTTGGGGCCGTGTTGGGGCCGTTTTGGGGGCCCCCCGGGCCATCTTGGGGCGCTCTTGAGGGCCTCTAGTTCTGTCTTGGAGCGTCGGAAAGCTAAAATGGCGAGAAAGCAGAAAACATCGAAAAACACATTGGAAAATTGACCATTTCGGGCTCCCGGGGCCGTCTTGGGAGGCTTCTTTGGGGCGGCTGGGGCGTCTTGGGGGCTCCTGAGGCTGTCTTGGGGCTATCTGTGGCGTCTTGGAGCGCTTTGTGCCTGTCTTGGAGCGCTCTTGAGGCACTCGGGACCGCTTCAATGGGCGTCCGGAGGGTCCCAAAGCCCCAGGATCCCAGGAGTCCGGTTTGGGGGGGGGGGGGGGTGCGGGGTTTTGCGGCCGCCCGGGCTTGTAAAAATATAGAAAGAGGAATATATATTCACATGTACGACCACCCTTCGGGTGATGAGGAGGTTGTGGGAGGGGGGAGAGGGGAGATCCAACATCTGACTCAATCGATCTCACTATCGATCTCATTCAACGGGACACCACGGGACACCTCGGGGCACCACATAGTTAGATCTCAGTATCGATCTCACTATCCATCTCACTATCAATCTCACCCAACGGGACACCACGGGACAACACAGGACACCACGGGACACCTGTCGATCTGACTATCGATTTCACTTTTTGGGACACCACGGGACACCACGGGATAACTTGGGGCACCACATCGATCTCAGTATCGATCTCAGTATCGATCTCAATATCGATCTCGGTATCGACCTCACTCAACGGGACACCACGGGACACCACGGGACACCACGGGACACCGCGGGACACCGTGGGACACCGCGAGCCACCGCCGGACGGACGGACGGACGGGGGAGAATAATTTGTCTTGACTGCGCCCAACCAACGGCGGACACCACAGGACACCACGGGACACCGCGGGACTCCGCGAGCCACCGCCGGACGGACGGACGGACGGGGGAGAATCATTTCTCTTGACTTCGCCCTAGCAACGGCGGGTTCATTCCTCTCGCGCGCCCACGCAGCTTCGCCTCGCCCGCACGCACGACACGAACGAAACGAAACTATTTCCCGGTTGGAGGTCTCCGTCCCACTGCGATCTCACCCCCTATCCTCCGATACATACATATATACTATATATAAGTTACATGTATATACACGTGTGTGTATGTGTGTGCACGGACTAGTATTTATTTGTATGTGTGCATGTCTGTATGTATGCATGCACGTGTATCTGGATTCAGGCATGTTTGCATGGATGATTGTGTGTAGGTGTAATTGTATACATATATATGTATATTTGTATGTGTGCAAGCATGTACGCGTGTATGGTGAAAATGTGTAGGTATGTCTGTATGTTTAGATGAAAATATGGATGTATACATCTATATATGTATGGATGTAGGTATGTACGCAGTTATGTCTATATCATTGTATGTATGTATGCATGTATGTATGCATGTCTGCATGCATGTGTATGCATGCATGCATATCTATATATGTCTTTGTTTGCGTATGGATAGATGTATGACTGTATGTGCGTATGCATGCTGTTTGTGTATATCTGCATGTCTGTATGTGTGTATGTATGTATGTATGGAAGTGTGGATGCTGTATTTCTGTATGTGTGTATGGATGTATGTGTCTATGTATGTGTGTCTGTCGGTCTGCCTGTCTGCATGTATGTAGATGTGTCTGTATGTGTGTAAGCATTGTTGCATGTATGTCAGAATGTATGTATGGATGCGTGTGTGCTGTCTTTACGTAGGTGTGTGTGTGTGTGTGTGTGTGCGCGGATGTGTGTGCTTATGTATGTATGTAGGTGTGTCTGCATGTCCTTATGTATGTATGCATGCGTTTGTGCATGCATGTCTGTAAACATGACTGCATGCATGCATGCATATAGGTATACATGTGTGTATGTATAGATGTGTATATATTGCATATATAAATATGTATATGTATGTATATATGTGTGTGCAGGTGTGTATGCAAATCTGTGTGTATGTATGTATGCATGCATGTATGCATGTATGCATGTATGCACGTGTGTCTGAATACGAGTGTATGGCTGCGCATGTATAGATGTATGATTGTGCTTGTATGCATACTGGGTGTATTATGTATGTGTATACATGTATATATGTGTGCATGTATGCACGGATGTGCATACGATGTATGTATGTATGTGTGTATGGATGTATGCGACTACGTAGGTGTGGCTGTCTGCCTGCCTGTCTGTATGTAGGTATGTGTGTATGTGTTTAAGTATGCATGCATGTATGGATGCACGCATGTAAGGATGCGTGTATGCTGTAGGTACGTATGTATGTGTGCGCAGATGTGTGTGCCTATGTAGGCATGTATGTTTGTCTGTATGCACGGACGCGTGTATCTATGTTGTTGCGTCTGCATGTAAGTGAACAGGAATGCATGCATGTATGCATATGTGTATGAATGTCTGTATGTATGTATGAATGCATGTGCATGTTTATGTGCATGCATGTATGTATGCATGTGAATATGTATTGGTATATGTAGGTATGTATGTACGTATGTCTTGCCAACTGGCGTCACCTCATCTTCCTCCATCGGGAGCCGTGCGGCACCCACCGCTGAAAGGACGGGGTGAAGAAGGATATACGTCGGTGTATAAATACAATCGCATTACGGATAAATGTGTATATATACATATGCGTGCACCATTACATGTACGCACAAATATATACACGCACGTACACGGCTGGCTTCTCATATGAATGACTGTATATTGTATATGTGTGTATGTATGTATGCATGCATGTATGTATGTATGTATGTAAACAGTTATGCATGAATGCATGCATGTTTGTACGTATGCATATATGTGTGTATGTATGCATGCATACATGTATATAGGTGTGAACGTATGTACATATATCTGTATATCTATATAGGTAGGTGAGTAGGTAGGTAGACCGGTAGGCATGCATGCATGCATGCATGTATGCATGTAGATCTGCCTGCCTGTCTGTGTGCATCACCCAAACCATGCTTGCACGTAGAGGTTCCCCCTTCGGTTCGAAGGACCTGGGCCTGCTTGCTGGTCTGACGGCTCCGTGCTCGCCGTCGCCGCCCCGTCGCCGCCTCGTCGCCGCCCGTCGTCTGGGCCTGCGGGCCGGCCTGGCGGCTCCGTGCTCGCCGTCGCTGCCTTGTCGCCGCCCGTCGCCTAAGTCTGCGTGCCAGTCTGTCGGCTCCGTGCTCGCCTTCGCCGCCCCGTCGCAGCTTAGATTGCATTGCATAGTTGCAGCGCGTAGATTTCACAACAAAGACTGCATCACACAAATTGTACCATCCGGGCAAGGACCCCTGTAGATGGCGCAGGTGGTCTGCTCCACCATTGGTCTGGTGGGGTTCGTGTGCGAGGGAGGCGGTCTCCGTGAGGCTCACGTGCGTGTACCCCCGAGTCCCGTCTGATCGGAGTGTTCCTGCTGGCCTGGGCGTTTGGTCTACCTGCTGGTGGCTTGGCCTTACTCGATTCAGACCCCGTTGGTTCCCTTCAGGTGTGACGCTTCAGTCGCTGCTGCTGGGCGTCACCAAGTGTGATAGGAAAGGGGGAGAGACCAACTTGGGCCAGGCCAGGTAGCGGTTCATCAAGGATGATCCCCCCGTCAGCTTGGGTCACGTGACCGCGGCTGAGCAGCCATGCTCTGGCCGCGCGCGGGCAGCGTAACACCACGATACTCTGGGTAGACTGGTGTCTTGATCCTGACCGCGCCAGCATCGATGACCTCGGCAGCGTTGGGGATGTCAGAGCTGATGACCCTAACGGTGAGCACGACTTGGGTGTGATCCTCTATGCTCGATACGTCTCTAAGACTTCTGACCTTGGATGGGCCCTCTGTTACTCAGGCGTACTCCAACCAGATGGCGAGCTGGAGGACTCTTGGGCCCCTCCCCCGTAAGCGACCGCCTCATCAGAGGGATGCTCCCCCTCCTCCTTCGCCTCCTTCTCGTCCTCCTTCCTTCAGCCTTCTCCTCCTTCTTGCCCTGCTCATCGCCTCTCCCTCACCCCGCTGTCCTCTCCACCTCGCCCCCCTCCCTCATCCTCCTGCCTCGGCCTCCCCACCTGTCCTCCGAGGCGGAGGAGGGCAGAGCAGGGCTAACACAGGAGAAGGAGCGGCAGCGAAGCACGAGACAGGACGGCCTGTGCAGGACAGGCTCGCGGCCACCGAAGGCTCCTCCGCTTCCCCCGCCTCCAGATAATCCTGACAATTGCTCGCCGTCGGTGTCATCGTCGTCCTCCCCCTCCCTCTCAAAATCCTGAATGTTATCCTCCCCTCTTCGTCCTCCTCCCTCTCGTGTTCCTCCTCCATCTCCTCCTCCTTTGCTTCCCCATTATCCACGTGTTATTCATCCTTCCTCCTCCTCCTCCTCCTCGCCTGCTTCTTCTCCTCCTCCTCCTCCTCCTCCTCCTCCTCCTCCTCCTCCTCCTTCCCCTAGCTTCTTATCCTGAGCACACCCAGGTGTCCGCCTCCTGTTCCTGTCACGTCGTCATTGTCGTCGTCGCTGTCGTCGTCGACCTCCTCCTCCTCCTCCTCCTCCTCGTCCTCCTCCTCCTCCTCTACCTCCACCTTGCGCCTCCTCCTCTCTCTCCGTCTTACGCCTCCGCATGTGCACTCCCACTCATCTTCCTCCCTCTCTCCCATTATCTCTCTCTCTCTCTCTTTCCTTGAACCGTCCTCCTGTTCCTCCTCCTCCTCCTCCCCCTCCTCCTCGCCCTATGTTTCCTTATCTTCTTCCTCCTCCTCCTCCTCCTCCCTCCTCCCTCCTCCTCCTCCTCCTCCGCTTCGTCCTTCCCTTCATCTTCCAAATCCGCCACCGTGCCTCTGGGCACGGAGTGGGCGTGTCTGCAGGTCCTTTGCCTGATCCCTGGAGCCTCAGTTCTCAGTCCCGAGGAGTCTTGCAGGGGCCCGGACCCACATTGCGAAGTCTCCTTGGGCTTGTCGCGTGCCCCTGGGCTCCGGGGAATGTTCTCGCATGGATATTCGGGCTCCTCCTCCTCCTCCTCCTCCTCTTTCTCCTCCTCCTCCTCCTCCTCCTCCCCGAAGACGGGCCAAGAGGGTCCCACGAGGCCCCCAAGACGGTCCAAGAGGGCCCCGAGTCGCCGAAAGTTCGTTCCAAGACGCCCGAGATGTCGCCAAGATGGCCCCAGAGGCCGTCCAACAGGGCCCCAACGACCACCCCAAAACGGCCCAAGAGGCCTCCGTGAGCCTCAAGACAGCCTAAGAGAGCCCCGAGATGGCCCAAGAGGCGCCCAGGACGGCCCCAAAAAGGGCCCAAGAGATGGAACACGAACCGAAAATCCGAGCATTCCGCCCCCAGAGGCACCTGAGGCCCAAGAAGCCCCCAAGAACCTAAAAGAGGCTCCTAGAGTTAGGTCGGGCCTGTCCCCCTACAGGGAGATATTGGAGGATTTTTTTAATACCCCAAACATGATCCAAACATGCTCAACAATAGTCAAAAAATTGTCCCCAGACTATGTTTTGACTATTTTTGGATATTATCCCTGTAGTTCTCCCTGTAGAGGGACAGGCCCGACTTAATCCTAGAGTTGAAAGAGGCTCCTAGAGGCCCCAAAACGGCCCCCAAGAAGCCTCCAAACTGTCTCCGAGAGGCCGCCGAGGGGCATGCCACGAGATCCCAACGAACATCCAATACGCTTCCTACCCACAACCCAGGCACGGTGGCGGGATGGGCCGAAGGCCATTCGACACCCCTCCTCTCTGTCACGCGTTCATCCTCCTTCCCTTCCCCAAGCCACTCAACTTCCTCTTCCCTGCCGTCATTCTCCCGACCCCTACCTCCCCCACTCCTCCTGATGATCATGCTACGTCTCGTCGTCCTCCTTCGGCCTCATCCCTCCCCCCTTTGCGTTCCTCCTCCTGCTCTCTCCTCGTCCTACACTTCCTCCAAAAAGTCACGATCCTTCTCCGCTGGAAGGAACTCTTGGAAAATCTGTTCCAAAACGGCGAAAACATGTCAGGCCGATTAACGAGCCACGCAACGGGATTAGGACGGAATACACGAAGAATTATGCAGGACTCAGAGGTATAAGACCGATCATGCGGGATTATGGCGGATTCTGCAGATTGTCCACGTATACCCGCGCCGATGCTGAACTGAACTTCTCCAGAAATGCATCTTAATTCTCTCCTGCTTCTCCGGACAGGGATGCGGGGGGAGGCCAGAAAGGGAGAAGCCACGAGGGTAGAGCAAAGATGGGATGGAGGGCGAGTGGGAATGAGGAGGATTAGGGATGAGGGAGGGGAGAGGAGGGGGAGAAAGGATGTGAGAGGAGAGTTGAAGATGGCGAGAGGAAGGAGGGGAAGGGGGGTGGAGGAACGAGGGAAGAGCTCTTCTCTTTTTCCTCCTCCTCCTCCTCCTCCTTCTGGCTCCTTCCCCTCCCTCGTCCTCATCCTGGCCCTGGCGCTCTCCTGGCATACGAGCGGGTTCGTCTTGAAGTTGGGGGCCTCCATCAGCGGCCTGATCACCTGGGCTGGCGGCCCGTCGACGCCCAGGGGGGCGGAGCGGGAGAAGAAGGAGTTGATCGAACGGATGATTTTTGGATCTGTTTTTACTGCTGGAAGGTTCCGCGGGGTCCTGGGGACCTCACGGGGCCTGGGTGGACCTCAGCAGGAGGGTGAGGGAACATGTGTTTAGTCGGGCACGTCCCCCTACAGGCAGATGTTCGACGACAAATTATTAAAAAAAGACTCCAATCGTCCCCAGACTGATGTTTGTCTGTTCTTGGATATTCCCCCTGTAGAGGGACAAACCCGACTTAGAACATGTGGTTGTTGGTTCCCCGAGGGTTCCAACGACCGAGACAGATCCCCTGCCAGGGGTCTAGCACACAGCCTGGGCTCAGGTCGGGCGTGTCCCCCTACAGTCCGTTTTTGGACGAATAAAAAACAATAGTGAAAGAATGGTCCCCAGACTACTTGCCTACTATGTTTGCCAAATCCATCCTGTAGAGGGACATGCCCGACTTAATGCCAGGAGTCTAGCACACAGCCTAGGCGTCGCGGGACGCAGCCAATAATAAGGAAAACGTCAAACCTTTCAAAGCCCGAGCGGGCTTCCGCTTCGACTTGCACTGTACTACCTTTGCGCTTGGGTTGGAATCCGAGTGAAATTTGGGACCAGGCCCACTCGCCGATCTTGCCAGCGGGGGCTTCGCAGGTCGTCGTCACGCCTCGAATCGCTGCATGCGACGCGTAGGGCTTGTAGGATCTCCACACAATGATACCAAGACTGTCGCTGCATGGAAGCACTGCGAAGTTGAACAATGGAGGAGGATGAGCGGGAGGCAATTGAGTCCAGACGGGGGACGGGAGGGGGCATGAGAGATAGGGGGGCGGATGATCGCGACTGGCTGTTGTTTTGCCCTTTGGGACATCCACGGGCGCCCCTGAATTTCACAATGGAATCGAACAAACCGGTCAGGTCCCCGGTCTTCCGTGACTGGGGTCCCTGGTCCCCGGTTCCCGGTCCCCGGTCCCCAATCTCCAACCCCCATCTCCTGGCCCTCGGTCTCCGATCCCTGGTCCGGTCCCCACACCTTCCAGCAAAGCGTTGAAAAGAGTGGGGTTCATCGAGTCCCCTTGTCTGCCTCCTCTTTTCTAGCTGCGACTAGTCGTACGATCAGACAGGATCTGTCCTGTCAGCTCCTCGTCCGGTTCTCGCAACACTCGGATACGGAGCACCTTGCACACCAACGAGTGGCTGACAGAACCGAGTGTCTTCTCGAAATCCACTGCAGCCAGCCGGGGATTCACCCTGTGCTCAGATGTTTCCGTGCAGCATGATTCAATTTAATAGGTGGCCGTCGCATCTGCAACCTTTTCGTAATCCAGCTTGGTCCGACGGTCACTGTTCGGTGCAGTACGCCAGCAGACGCCCATGCAATAGTATGCTGAACAGCTTGTTCAGCATCCAAAGAACATAAGTATGTCGACGGTTGTTCGGCATCGTGGGGCGCCTTTGCCTGAAAACGCGCCGATGCACGTGTGCCTCAGTGTCTACGGAGGTTCTTTCCCGTCGGCCAGAACACTCGTGATGACAGGGGCCAGACTCCTGCCAACTTTGAGCACCTCTGCAACTACGCCCACAATCTCTGCATCTCTGCAACACTTTTAGGGCGGAGGGGTAGGAAAAAAGGGAGGAGGAGGAGGAGGAGGAGGAGGAGGAGGAGGAGGAGGAGGAGTCTTGAATGACCGAAGCGGCGACCGATCTGTTTCGAAATTGTCTTGAAAGGAGAGAGGCGGATGGGCGGAGAGGACGGAGCGGGAGGAGGCGTGGCGGACGTGGGGAAAACTCGGAGCTTTTCAGAGGTTTCCAGACATTCCCAATGACAGCTTCTGGAGTGGGCAAGGGAAAGACGAAGGAGGCGCAACAAGACGCCGACATCCGCGCACGCGCGCCACTGCACGCGAGCGCCAGGAAAAGGGCAATCGGCTAGAGGTATCCAGGGGACCCCCACGGAATACCTGGAGGCCTCTCAGAGGCCCCAGGGCGCCTCCAGAGGTCGCTTTTGGAGGCGTCTGGAGGGCACCAGAGGCCTGAGAGGGGCCAGCAAAAACAGAACAACTATAACCCTCGATCCTCGGCTTTCCTCCTCGATCCTAGACCTCCGCGAACGTCCGACGCACCTTTCGGTCTTCCGCTGCTTGCCTTTTCGAACGTGAGTTCGCTCTCGGGGAGGGCGGCTACGGCGTCCAAGTTCGCCTTGGCGTCCGTGACCACCTTCTGGGCAAGTCAGCCCATGCCACAATCCTCCACTTCATTCTTATCATCCTAACCCTGCCCCCCTTCTTCCTCCAACGTCTCCAGATCATGCTGGCATGCCCGAATTGAGTGTGCTAGCACAACGTTTAGATGTACGAATACAAAAACACTTCAACTTCTATAAACTACGGTTTGAGTGTAATCTGGCGCCTAGCCACTAGGCCGGACGTAGGCACTGGATGGCACATTAATTTGTATGGGCCTGGGCACTCACGGCCCGGGGCTTCTCGCATGACCTACTCCAGAAGCCTCAGGAGCGTTGTTCGAACTCCAAACTGCCAGTATGCTCGAATATGGTACCAGGATCATGTCCTGAGGACCGCTTGCAGGCCTCTAAGCCGTCTTGGAGGCCCTGGGGGGCCAACCCACGATCCCCAAATAATAAAACTCGCTGCTATCCCCACCCATCGCGTCGTGTTGAGCCTTCGCATTGAATCTGCAGCTCCACGCTTCACCTCCCCACCTCCTCACCCTTCTGCCTCTTTGCCGCTGCTCTTCGCATCCCCTCTCCCTTCGCATCCACATCTTCAAGGCCCTTCGGAGATTGTGCAATCCACAAAGACCACCGAGTCTAGACTCTGGCCGACGCAAGCACTGCGTAGTAATTTTCTTTCGGCGTCCCCAACCAAGAAATGCTCAAGCGTGTAGAAGAAGAGGACGCGGTGGGAGACGTTCGAAAACCTTTCTCCACGATTCTCGAGATTCGAGCCTCGATCCTGATTCCTCGAGCCGTTGCTCAAGCCTCGATCCTTCATGCCCATATCTATCAAGCCACGATCCTCGAGCCTCAATCCTCGAGCCTCGAGCACTCGATCCACGTTCCTCGATCCTGGTTCTACCGACTTCTCGATCTCCCGCGCGTGCAAGCGACGCAGCGCGGCGGCCGCCGCGGTCACGCCGCGGCGGGGTCGCGGGATCCCCCCCCCCCTCCCCCGCCAAGCCTTCTCGACCATCGACTCGATCTCCTGCACCGTCCTGGGCCACCTCGGTGGGCGGCGAAGAAGCCCGGCCAACAATGCCCCGCGGCCCTCACGGCCGGCCACTCCATCTGACCGACCGGGGTTGCGGGAGGGGGGGAGAGGGGCGATGGAGGGAAGGAAGAGGCGGGCCCGAGCAGAGATTGTCTGTAGCAATCGTGCGCCTTTGGTATTTCCTGCGCCCTTCCTTCAACACCTGCGCCTGGATCTCTCGACGCATTCTCTGGGACCCATGTTCATCACTGGCAAATTTATGACGACCATGGGGCCCGAGATTGAGAGGTCACCTTTTGTTTTGAACACGTCACGTCATCCTGCTACTCCGTGGAAATCTGCGGTCATGTAGGTCCCAAGAAATCGCCAGAGGCCTCCAGAAACATCATCAGCAGCCGTGACAAACCCCAAACGGCTTTTTTGTCCTCCCTCCTCCTCCTCCTCCTCCTCCTCCTCCTCTTCCCTCTGTCGGTAGCACGTTACGAAAATCGCATCGGCGTGGGTGCATGTCAGCTCAGAGGCTTCGGTGCCTGGCTTGGAGCCCGACCTGGCCACTGTCGAGGTCTCCACAAGCTTGACCCCCAGAACCTGGCCAGGTGGCAGCACAAGGTTATTTCTCTCGAGTGTTATGATGGTGCTGCGCCCGTCGTTTGCCCGTGTTGCAAGGCCTACTCAGGCCACGGCGTGGTGCGCAACCTCGCTCGGGAATGGTTTGGCTCCCCCTCAACCGCTGGAACCCTGTCTGCCTGGCAGCGGATGCCCTCTCGGGTCCACCCGAAATTCCTCGGAGTATCTGTGCAGGTTGGCCCCTGGTCCCAGGACGCTGAGCAAAGCCAGGATGCCCGAGGCACCTGGCTGGCGAGCCGTCAGGCCCACAATGCCGCTTCGCACACCACTATGAAGTAAATGGCCTCGCGGAGCAAGACTAAGGAACTGAAAAATGGCATAAAGAAAGACACTCGGAGGTCCGCGCGGATTTCTTGGATCCGCGCCGGGCCCCCCTCCCTGGCGCGCGGGGCGCGCCAGGGGCGGCGCCGCCAGGGGGCCCCAGCGCCGATCCGAGAAATCCGCGCGGACATCCGAGTCTTTATGTCTATGTCATTACGGCAGGTTCGTGTCGTGCCGACCCCAGCGTTGGTTTTTGACACCGCAGGGATCGTTCAACCTTGAACGATCGGCCGCTGCCGCAACGTCCGATCGTTCAGCATCGATCGATTCTGGGTCGCCGGCGGCGTTCAACCTTGAACGCCCGCGCTGGGGTCGCCGCGGGTCGACACGACGCAAACCTACCGTACTTGTGTTCCTGAACACATCCCCCTCCCCCTCCCCTGGGGCGGGGTCGCGCGGAAACGACGCAGCGCGGAGGCGCGCAGCCCGAGCGGCGCCGAGGCGCCCGCGCGAAGGGAGGCATGTCGTCGCCGGGCGCCGAGGCAGGCGGCGGCGGCGGGGGGAGCAGGCACTCCTGCTGGGTGGCTTTGGGGGGAGGAGGAGGAGGAGGAGGAGGAGGAGGAGGAGGAGGAGGAGGAGGAGGAGGAGGAGGAGGAGGAGGAGGAGGGTGGAGGGGGGGGAGGAGGAGGAGGAGGAGGGGAGGAGGAGGGGGGGAGGGGGAGGAGGTGGAGGATGGGGAGGACGGAGGAGGAGGAGAGGGAGGAGGAGGAGGAGGAGGACTTGAAGGAAGAGGGGGCAGACCATTGCAAACCCAAGATTCATCTCGGAAGCGGAAAATTCACAATCTGACGTTGAAGGCGCTATTTGCCAAAGGAACGAAGCCGTTTAGTAAAGTGCTGTTGCTCTGTTGCGCGACAGCCGCGGCGGCGCGTCCGAATTGCCGAGCCACGTTCTGTACTCGCGTCCTGAATCTCCTGGCAAGCAGCACCTGCAACTCGCTGGAAACAAATCCAAGGATCGCTGCGACCCGATGCAACGCGACCCTGACTATTCGAGCAAATGCATCGCGGTGCGAACTGGCAAGGACGACAAGACCGACCGGGCCCTGGCCCGGCCCCCATTACCACCGCATGCCCAAGGCTTTACTTGGGCAGACTGCGTATTTTACTGAAGCGGAGAAACGGCTTTACTAAAACAAATAAGCGGCTTGACTAAAGCGAGGAAGCGGCTGTGCTAAAGCGAGGAAGCGACTTTAGGAAAGGCGCGCCGCTCAATACATTCTGGGGGAAAATACACGTTTGACTAAAGCAACAAGAGAGCTTTAGTAAAGCGGAGAGACGGCTGGGGTAAAACTGCGCACAACAATATTGCTCCCCACATAAATCTGGCGCGGGACTCTAGGAACGAGGGCGGGGCGCAACTTCGCCCGTGGGCCCGGGCCCCGTCGCCGCAGTCGCCGCGATGTTCGTCGTCGCCGCCGTCGCAGTTGCCGCCGTCGGCGCAACCGTCGGCGCAGACGCCGCCGTTGTCGTCGCCGAAACGCCCGCGCATTCGCGTTATTACTAGCGGCAGGTCGCGCGCGACCGCGCGCGCCATTGCGCTCGCATTTCCGCTCCTCCGACGGGGACCCAGGCGGACATCGTGATATGATTCCACCCGCAAAACAACGTAATTTCAGCGCCCTGACAACTCTGGATCGCTCCAAACCACCATTTCTGGCACGTTACCAATGAGTCACTGAAACTCTTACGAGCGCTTGAAGAGAATGTACGCGGCGCTGAGGCGAGAGACGCATTCTGACACAACCCACTCCCAATCCGTGAAATTCATGCTAATGTTTAGGACGAATGTGCGCAACGCTAAAACGAGAAACACAGAATGAAAACCACCCGCCCTCAATCCGTGAACCTCGTGCAAATTTGAACAACGATTGTCCGCGTCGCTGAGGCGAAAACTACATGTTGAAAACGAACCGCTCTCAATACGCAAAATCCTTGCCAATCTATATAACGAATGCGCGCGGCGCTAAGGCCAAAACTAAATGTTGAAATCCACCCGCCCTCAACTCGTGAAACTCTTGCCATGGTTTTAATGCAAATGTGCGCGGCGCTGAGGCGAGAGCCACATGTTGAAAGCGACCCGCCCTCCATCTGTGAAGCTGCTCAGTTTTCAAGCGTCAGGTCTATACATTGTAATGTAGTCTGCGTGGCGAAGAGCCTGGCCCGCCCTGTGGAGCCGACTCGTGCGACAAGGAGGAGTTATCTATGAGGAATCGGAATGGAGCATGGGAAGAGGTGAGGAGGAGGAAAAGCAGAGGGGGGGGAGGAGGAGGAGGAGGAGGAGGAGAGGAGGAGAAGGAGGGGGAGGAGGAGGAGGAGGAGGAGGAGGAGGAGGAGGAGGAGGAGGAGGACAAGGAGGAGGAGGAGGAGGAGGAGGAGGAGGAGGAGGAGGAGGAGGAGGAGGAGGAGGAGGAGATTTAAGGGGAGAGGAGGAGGGACAATGCAGGGTGCGAGGAGAGGAGGAGGGAGAGGCGGTAGGAGAGGGAGGAGGGAGGGAGAACGAGGAGCAAGGGAGGGAGGGGGGGGAAGGGAGGGTGGGAGGAGGGGGGAGGGAGGGAGGGAGGATGAGGAGGAGGGGAGGAGGAGGAGGTGAGGGGAAGGGACTGATAGGAGCAGGGGAAACGGAGGCGAAAAGGAGGAGGAGGGAGGGTGGGGTGGGGGGAGGGGTGGGGGGGGGGCTGGGAGGGATGGGGCGGCGGAGGGGAGCTAAGGAAGAATGAGGAGGAGGAGGGAGGAGGAGGAGGCGGAGGAGGAGGCGAGGAGGCGGAGGGTGAGGAGGGATGGGGGGAGGAAGAGGTGGGGGAGGCGGAAGCGGAGGCGGTGGAGGGAGGAAGGCGAGGAGGTGGAGGGGTAGAGGAGGTGGAGGAGGTGGAGGAGAGAGGGGAGCGAGGCGGAGGTGGAGGAAGATGAGGAGGAGGAAAGAGGAGGAGGAGGAGGGAGGAGAGGAGTGGAGAGTGGGAGAAGAGAGGGGAGATGCGAGAAGCGAGAGGCGAGAGGAGAGAGGAGAGGAGGAGGAGGAGGCGAAGGAAGACACTAAGAAGAAGGGCGAGAGGGCGGGAGGGGGTCCAGGCCCTTGGCGTGCGGAGCGCGCCCGCGGCCTGCTTCCCATCCTCCTTCGAGTTCCTCGCCGTGCCCGCGGGCGCGCCCCCCGCGGGCACGCCCCCCCCGCCCCCCCTCGGTTCGGGCTGGTGTGGGTGCTTGAAGCAGGTTGTGCTTTGAGGTCGACCCTCCTTCGCCATCCTCCCCCCCTCCTCCATTCACCTTCCTTCCTCCCTTCCTTCCCTCCTCCTCCTCCTCTCTCATCGTCAATTCCACCTCCTTCGCCCTCGTCCTCAGTCCTCTCCTCTCCTCCTTCCTGTTCCTCTCTCCTTCTCCTTTCCTCTGCCCTATCTCTCTCTCCTTCGCCTCTTGCATCTCTCCTCTGTCTTCTCTCCTCTCTCCTCTCTCGTCGCTCCTCCTCCTCCTCCTCCTCCTTCTCCTCCTCCTCCTCCTTCATCCTCCTCCTCCTCCTCCAACTGTTCCTCCTCTCCTCCCCCCACTCCTCCTCCTCCTCCTCCTCCTCCTCTCTCCTCCTTCTCCTCTCCTCCTCCTTTTCATTCCTGCTTCCTCCGCCTTCCTCCTTCCTCATTCCTCCTCTACATCCTCTCTCCTTATCCTCCTCCTCTTCCTCTTTCTCTCCCCCTCCCATCTATCCTCCCCTCTCCCACACCTCATGCCTCCTTGTTCGTCCTTCCCTCCCTCGTCTCTCCGTCTCTCCTCCTCCTCCTCCCTTCCCCCTTTAGTCCCCCTCCTCCCTCCTCCTCCTCCTCCTCCTCTTCTTCGTCTTATTATTCTTCTTATTATTCTTCTTATTCTTCTTCTTCTTATTATTATTATTATTATTTTTATCATTATTATTATTATTGTTATTATTATTATTATTATTCGTCCTTTTCTTCTTCTTCTTATGATTATTATTCTTATTTTTCTTATTATTCTTCTTTTTCTTCTTCTTATTCTTATTCTTATTCTTATTCTTCTTCTTCTCATTATTATTATTATTATTATTATTACTATTATTATTATTATTATTATTCTTATTTTTTTCCTCCTCCTCCTCCTCCTCTTCCTCCTCCTCCTCCTCCTCCCTCGCCCCCCCCTCCTCCTCCTCCGCTTGCGTTTCTTCCTCCTCCTCCTCATCATCTTCTTCCTCTTCATTTTCTTCTTCCTCCCCCTCCTCCTCCTCCTCCTCCTTTTCCTCCTTTTTCTCTCCTCCTCCTCCTCCTGTTTTTCGTCCTCCTCCTTTTCTTTCCCTTCCTCCTCCTCCTCCTCGTCATCATCATCATCATCCCATGTGCCACACGCAGGCGGCGCCTCTGCAAGCGGACCAACTCGACGCACTGCGAGCGACCTGAACAGTTGACACCGCACGAGATTATAAGGAAGGCGCGAACGATTCTACATCCACGGCAAATCTGGGTTTTATTATAGGATGGACGACGCCGCTTCTGCAAGGTAGGGAAAGGGAACGGGAATGGAGGGATTGGGGGGCACACGTGTTACTTGTCGTCGTTTTCCGCGCAGCGCTGCCCATGCCTGGGCTCGCGCACGGCGGGCCTGCCCTGCTAAGGGACAACAAAAATCCCCGCACACGGCTGGCCAGGCCGATGGGGCACCCGGGTCGGTCCCGAGCCCACCATCAGCACGGAGTGGGGATCGATCATCCACGTGCGTGAGCGCATTTGGGCGACGATCAAAAACGGGTCTTCTGCTAGCTAGACGACATAGCTACCTCACGCGGCGGCTTACGCGGGCCGCCGGCGCGGCACGCTACGTTGGAGACAGGGGCGCTCACGCGCGACCTTGCGCGGGCAGCTTACGCTCCAATGTCGGCGAAAAAGCAACCCGTTTTGCGTCGCTCACGAGTGTGCGCATTTAGCGTTTTCTGGCTCCGTGGCTGCTAGCAGCCAGGCAGCGCCGCAGGGAGGCCTCTGATGGAAGAGGGGGGGGGCGGCACGCCTCGCTCCTCGCTGGGGGAATGCAGCGCCCCGAAGCAGCGGCGATGCCTTGATGACTGGCGAGATGGCAACCCTGAGGACTCTGGCGGCGAAAACTTTTCGCGAGCAGGTCTGCCACGGAACCACATCTGGACAGCGGCGGCAAGAAGCAGGAAGGAGGCCCCAAGGGGAAGACCTCGCGGCAGAAGGGCAGCGGGCCGGGCCGAGGCGCGCGGGCACGGACAGAAGCGGAAGAGCATGCTCAATCTTTCTTCAGGCAAGGCCATTATCGTTGCGATCGCGGCCGGGCTCGGCGAGGTAGCAACGAGAGAGAACACTGAGGCAGATCGGCCACCCTTGCAGAAAACTATATTGCAACGATCATGGCTCTGCGATTCTGCCGCGAGGCACGCTGAGAACGGCGCGAAGCGGCGCGGGCGGGCTCGAAAACCGCTTGAGCACCAAACGCTTCGGCCAGCAAAGAACATTCAGCATTGCGCGATGTCCCGCGTTGCTACGTGCCCCATTTTCTTCAGGCCAG